GTCTATATACACACACACACACACTGGGACATATCAGGGTAAATTATGATCAAGTTATTCTCGGACCGTGATTTCCGGCAGAAATTAAACACTGGCTGGTGATGGTTATAGAGGCTTACGTGCCAAAAGGCGTGGAACTTTAACCACGCGCAGATAGCAAACATTATCTTCGCTAGGGGCAATACATTATTCGGCAATCGGGTGCACGGGTCTAATGGTCCGTGGCAATGCCCGTTTAACCAAGAGCCACCTCTTTGTACGCAATTTACACTTCAGTAATTTGTAGCTATATATTTGAGTCATGTTTTATTTATGATTCGCTCACCCTTTTCTCTGTGTTGCACTCCTATATCGTTTTGTGTTTGTATTGCTCTTGTAACTCGCTCATCCGCCCTTACTGGACATCTGTGAAAAGAGATGTGTAGCTCATGGGATATTTCTCCTCTAGTCTAAATCGTGATTCTGAGTCTGCATAAAACCCGTGAGCACTTCTTGCCGTGAACGTGTTTGGTTTAAAGTCAGTTCGTCCGCATCTCGAGTAAATCGTGATAACGATAATATAAAGCAGAAATTGGTTTAAATTATTTCACAGGCATACAGATAATAACGTAATAAAATGTATTAAATCATATAATTATTAATAGATATAGGTATATGCAGAGCACCCATACTCAGTGTATCTATTAACGTAATGTTATTTATGAAATAATAGTATTTCTTCCAAATATGGCATACCCTATGCATGCGAGCGTACACGAGTTATCACTGCAGTGCACGTATCCATTTACACTATTCACATTCACACACGTGTATACATGCACACACACATACATGTTTACACTAAGACACATGCACAGACATTGCATGTACTTGAATACACGTGTACACATACATGTTTACACTATGACACATACACAGACATTTCATGTACTTTCAACAACACGTGTACACATACATGTTTACACTAAGACACATATACAGACATTGTATGTACTTGAATACACGTGTGGGTGTACATGTTTACACAAAGACACATACACAGACATTGCATGTACTTTCAACAACACGTGTACACACACATGGTTACACTAAGACACATACACAAACATTGCATGTACTTGAATACACGTGTGCACGCACATGTTTGCACATCAACACTCAAACAAGACAAAGATCCCTCGTATATAATTTAACAGACTGTTGGGGCCAGCGCTGTTAGCCGGCACCTATTAATTCGGCCGGTACGATACACGAGGGGGTGGGTGGCCAACACCACGCCCGGCCGCCTTTGTCTCGAACCCAGCCCAGTGCACACTGAAGTCCACGCAAGGCGTGTCTTCGTGATTTGCACCCCAGTGTTATTCGACATGGTGCCCGACGTTTCGATGATGGAGGCCGGCAGATGTAATGCATTAGCGTGCATACTACGAACGCTACATCTCTGCCCTACGTCAATCACCAACAGCGGCAGCAGCCGGCAACGCTCCTGCGTATAATCGAGGGAGACACACGTGAGCGGAACGTCGAACAACACGCCGTGCAAACCCCCCCTTCCCCCCCCCAAAAAAAAAAAAGAATCGCCTCCCAGAGCTCTTAGGGCTAAGTGTAGTCGCGCCAACGATCGGACAATGGCACAGAGACTGAACGAGCCGCTATAGATTTTACAGCGCAACAGATGACCCACGTGCGTCAGTAGCGGTAGCAGGAGGACCTCCTATGACCGCACGGGCAATTCAGAGGCTTGCGCGCCGAGCGCACCGCGAGAGCGCGCGCCGGGTCCCTGTGGATGCGATAGGAGCCGCGGGTCGCCGTGGCGAGAGCGAGCAGGAGACGCGACGGGCGACTGATTCACGCGCGCGCGCCCTCAACCCCCAGAGCCCGCGGCCTCCGTGATCACGCGCGTTCGTCACGAACGCGCGCGCGCTCGTGATAACGCAGCGCGTATGTTGATGTACGTACGTTGCGATGCCGTCTGTGCGTACGCGTGGGGGAGCGGTGTCGTAGCGGTTCGCGTGCTGCGCTACGAAGCCCGGCAACCCCGAGTTCGATTCCCATTCATGACCAGCCTCAATTGAGTACCTGGTGGAGTGTATGGACATTGCCACGAGGAAGACAAAGGCGGCCGGGCGTGGTACTGGCCACCGACACACTCGCTCACAGTACTTGCCCCAACAGTCTGCTCAAGGCTACAAGGAGGATAATTGTCTTATCATCGAACGCACGAATGAATGTCTTAGCGTAGCAAGCATGTGTGTGATGTATCCGTGCATATGCCCGTGATATAGATAGATGCGCGTGCGTAAACGTGCAGTATCCACGTGTTCGTGTGTGTTTTTTTAATAACGCACGTCATGTAAATCTACGCGACGTATCCGGCTATGTCTCCAGTGTTCTTCGTAAAAGTACCAATGATGTAATGTATTGTTATCCAGACGGGTTTATTCACGACCCCTTCCTTGCTGTACTGCCTGGTTTCCTAGCACGACAGCGAGCTTTGGAGCATCGCCACAAATATATCGCCACGCGTTCGCTGAGTCACGCACACACTGTCCATTCTATTGCTGAGTCACGGATGTCGTCCTAGGCTCTCTAGACTGGAGAGTGTTCTTCTTGCTGAGTCACGGGTAGAGCCGAGAGCCTTACCATTGCTGAGTCACGGATAATTTCTTGAGTATTTCGATTTCTGAGTCACGGATAGAGTCTAGAGTATTAAAAAAATCACTGAGTCATTAAGTGTCACGATTACGCTGTCGTGCATAGAGTCTAGAACGTTGCTATACTCGCGTTGCATGTATTTTTTTTTTAATGTCGCCGATTTGCGCCGCTTTGCGATAATGCGGTGAACCTTTAGCGAGCCATTATATTTTCCCAGCGATGTGATCGCACGCATCACGACACATCACAATCATGTAGGCGGCCCTTTTGGTCGAGTGAGTGACGGGTGTAAGTTGTTACACAAGCTAGATTCGAAGCTTTCGTGACTGCAAGAATTACTCTTTGGTTCATTTGGTAAAGTCACGTTGAAAATGAAATCAAATAGTAATTTGACCAATATCATCCATAATACGCGATCTAACCCAAAACAACCTCGATGATGGATAAAACAACTAAACCAACTCATTTTAGAATCGGGTCCCTAACAATTCACGCGAGCGGGCGTTGGGTTTAATTGATTAGGTTTCACTCACTCTGCCACTCTGGCCCCTCTGCGTGCTGTGAAGAAGGGGCATTACCCGAAACGTCACCTATTGTCTACTTTGTTTTAATTATGAATTTGAAGTCCACTGCGTAATTAACCAATGTGTTGAGTGTGTGTTGTTGTCGTCAATGTGAATGAGCGTCTTCAACTTGACGTGAGGACAAAGGGACCGGGCGTGTTTAGCAATCATCGGGCGCGTGCGGCGCGTAACGGGGAAGTAGTTTTTGTCGTTGCTATTGTTCTTATTGTTATTATTGTTTGTGCTTCTACACCAATGCCAATACAGCTGCAGCATCCCCAATTAACCAAACTCAGCGAGAGTGTGACGCTGAAGTCAATGAACAGCAGCCGAAGCCCCGTGACGCTTGGCTTACATATTGTTCTAAAACACCAATTCGATGTAAGTAAACGTTTCCAAAGAAATTGCGCACACGTAGGGGGGATGTAATTGTGTATATTAAATTGTGATCAACGCATGTCCGTGTGCGCTGAAGCACAATTGTATAATTACAAAGCAATGTATTATGCGAGCTATCATTATTGTTATTGATAGTTAGTTCTTCGTTAGACCGCGGAAGTAACGAGCGAATATTTACAACATACAGCTGACATCATAGTCAATAAAGGTCCACGCGTGTCATTACGACGACGATGATGACGATCAGAACTGTATTCGCCTTATGGAGTACGATCAGCGCCAGTCATTAAACATTCAAATATATTCCCAAACAGCTCAAGCATTGGTGTAGACGCACGTGGAAAGTGGTTGGGCTCGTATTCAAGGAGTACACTCACTGCATGTGCACACATCTTGTACACGAACAGCATTGGCACGCACCCCTAACGCTGCACGTATCTGCGGCACGTGTTGCCGCGCTTGTACGTGCGTCTGGGGAGTGGCGGCCCACCGCGCTACGAACCGTGCCACCCAAGTTCGATTCCCGCTCGCACGATCAAACACCAGTGACGATTATCTCCCCTAGGTCGACTCAGTGAGAGAGACAAAGGCGGCCTGGCGCGGTGCTGGCACACCCACCGCCTCGCGTGCGGCATGCATCGTAGGCGCTGCTCGCGAACGGCACTCGCCCCAAAAGTCTGTTCAGGCTCTACGGATGATCTTTGTCTTGTGTGTGTGCGCGTGTGTGAACAGCCTTTAAGTAGCGACTCTGTACAAACAATCTTTCGCGCGCGGCGTGTGAACGCGGACATAAATACCCATTAAAACTTGGCGAGCGCGTTACGATGGGGGACAGATTTTGCCCCAGCGGTCTACGCTAAACGTGAACAATGCGACCATTGTCGCTCTCGGCGGTGTTGTTGTCGTCATTGTTGTTGTTGTTGTTGTTGTCGTCCTTGTCCTTGTTGTGGTGCTCATAATCATTGATGACGCGCGCTTGTGTCGCCCAAGGCCCCGAGTTATGGATGCGCGCGTCGGGAAATTTGATTGGCAGCGGCATCGCGGGAGGTGGCGCTCCTGATGATGATGATGGTGGCGGCGGCGGCGGTGATGGGATGTTAAGGTGGGGAGGAGCAGGACCGATGTTGTGGGGGCAGGGCGGGGTATAGGAGGATTTGATTGACAGCGTCTCCACGACAACCAGCCCGAAATGGCACCGCGAGCCAATGGAGAGACGCGCGTTAAAGCGTTTAAGGGGCAGCGTCGTACGGAAACAACGACGCTGTTTGGGGAGAGCGAGAGAGGGGGAGAGAGTGTGTGTGTGGAGGAGACGGGAAAGAGCGAGCGAGCGATAGAGAGAGCGAGGGAGGGAGAGCGCGCGAGGGTGGGAGGGAGAGAGGAAGAGATACGGGCCTCTGATATGAGATGAGATGCCAGCGTAAAAGTTTGCGCATTTTGCGTGCAATCGGCGAGCTCACTGCCCTCGCGGGAGGAGCCATTATCATCATCATTATCGCACGCCTCCCTGTGACGCATTGTCGCCGTTATAGGGGACGGTGCCGAGAACGGCTGTTGGTCAGCGTCGGCCGCCGCGCGCGCGCTCGACTCTCTGTTAGCATCGGCACCATCAACACCACCATCAGCACCATCAGCACCATCAACACCACCATCAACACCATCAGCAGCAGCGGCGGCGGCCACGTCCGCTCTGCATCCTCCATCATCGTCGGGAGCAACAGCAGCAGCCAGGCTTGAGCTTTGGGGGAAGTCATCCCGGCAATAGCGTGCATGTCCTACTAACACGACCACCACCAAAGTCGCCACCACCAACAACACCAACAACAAACGACGACAAGAACAACAACGATTACGCACACCAACAAGAAATCGACGCCCAATGTTCGCGCTACCGACGCTGAGCTTTAGCCCCCAGCAGGTTGCCAGCGTGTGCGAGACTCTGGAAGAAAGCGGCGACATCGAGCGCCTGGGCCGCTTCCTCTGGTCCCTGCCCGTGGCCCCCGGCGCCTGGGAGGCCCTCAACCGCCAGGAGGCCGTCCTGCGAGCCAGAGCCGTGGTCGCGTTCCACGCGGGCAACTACCGCGACCTGTACGCCATCCTAGAGGGGCACAAATTCTCCAAGGCGTCGCACGCCAAGCTGCAGGCCATGTGGCTCGAGGCGCACTACCTCGAGGCCGAGAGGCTCCGTGGCCGCCCGCTGGGGCCCGTGGACAAATACCGGGTGCGCAAGAAGTTCCCGTTGCCGCGCACGATCTGGGACGGCGAGCAGAAGACGCACTGCTTCAAGGAGCGGACGCGCAGCCTGCTGCGGGAGTGGTACCTGCAGGACCCGTACCCGAACCCGGCCAAGAAGCGGGAGCTGGCCCAGGCCACGGGACTCACCCCGACGCAGGTCGGCAACTGGTTCAAGAATCGGCGGCAGAGGGATCGTGCGGCGGCGGCCAAGAACAGGTGCGAGTGCCTGGGGTCCACGGGGGGGGTCTTTGTGCGTGTCCGTGTGTCGGTGCTTTCGCCGCGCAGCGAGTGTTGTGGTTACACGACTCTTGATAAGCGTGCGCCACGTAAACGTCGTGGGCCAACGTTGTGGGCGAACGTTGGGGCAACGTTGTGGGTGAACGTTGGGGCAACGTTGTAGGTGAACGTTGGGGCAACGTTGTGGGTGAACGTTGGGCCAACGTTGTGGGTGAACGTTGGGCCAACGTTGTGTGCGAACGATGGGGCAACGTTGTGGGTGAACGTTGGGCCAACGTTGTGGGTGAACGTTGGGGCAACGTTGTGAGCGAACGTTGGGGCAACGTTGTAGGCCAACGTTAGGGGACCGACGTTGTTTTCGCGCGGCCAGGTATTGTTTGCGACGAGCGCGCGCCGGGTAAATGTTGTGGGCTAACGTTGGAAGCAACGTTGTGGCACCAACGTTGGGATAACGTTGTGGCAGCAACGTTCGGGTACCCGACGTTGTCGGGCCAATGTTGGTCCAACGGTTCGAATGACATGCCCAATGTTGTCGCGACGCTGGGCATGTTTACTGGATTAGTGGCATTTTACAACAACAACAACAACAACAACAAAATGCGCGTGGCCGTATTTTTTTGCACCAGTGTTGAATCGCAACGCGCGCGTTATCGTGATTATTAATTGTGTTTTTTTTTACATACGCGCACGAAGTTTCCAGTGTTATTACTTTTTGTTTTTTGTTTAACCAGCTGAGAAAAACTCGCGATCAGACGGGCGGCGAGCGGGCATGAGTCTCGGAGCGAATCGCGGTGTCAAACCCCCCCCCCTCCAAAAAAAACCGTTGCTCCCGTGGTGGCCACGTTGCGCGCTTGGGTACGAGGTGACGGGTGCACGAGTCGGGGTGACGGAGTTGCTGAATTCGGGATCCAAACTCACCCCACCCCCCCACAGCACGCGAAAGTCACGAGCAACTTTGACTCGATCGTCGATTGCGCGACGCCGATTCGTGTGTGGACCACGCGCGCGCCGTCGATTTATTTTGTTTGGGTTCAACTACGGCGAGGCAATTTATTCGGGGGCTACTTCACCATCGCATGTATTAAGTCGCAACGCGTTGTTTCAAGAGACAGCTATCGTGCTGTGACGGTTTCACCTGTAGACGGAGGCTTGTGTTGCCTCCGAAACGTCGTGATTTTTATTTTATTTTTTATTTTACTTTTATAAATTTTTATTTTTTACCTACGTGACCTAAGAATATGAATCCTTGCAGTCACGAAAGCTTCAAATCTAGAATCGCAACGCGTTGTTCACTGCGTGTTCTCTACCTACCTGGTCGCATGGCCGTTTGCGCGCGTGCACGAGACAACTCGTTGCGCGCACGTGACACGTGCGTTCTGTCTCGACACAATTCGGCGTAGGTGCGACACACGTCCGTTGTATACGGTGTGTACCGTGTGCACAGCACAAGTTTGCATGTACATACCGGGTTCGGACCGTCACTTGTATGTTTCCTATATGGACATTCGTGTTACAACTACGCGGAATGTTATTACATGCGCGTATCATAATGATTGCATATGCGTGTCTTGACATTTTATGTAAATATATATAAATATAATACTGTGTATACTGTCTATTGTGTGTGTATACTATTTAGAAATATATATATATGTACTAAGAGTATTGTGCGTGTACACATGTGGACAGTTGATCCATATATAGTAACAGCTTCTATTACGTTTATATATATATAATTAATTGTATGTACAATAAAATACAAAGACTCCCCGTGTAGCCTCAACAGACTATTGGGGCAAGGGCTGTTAGCGAGCACCACGCCCGGCCGCCTTTGTCTTTCCAGTGGCGACGTTTACACAACATGCCAGGTACTCGTTTAAGGCCGAGCTGACCTAGGGGAGGCCCAGGACCGTCTCACATAGTCGTCAACAATGTTGATAGTGAGCGGCAAATCGAACTCGGCTTGCCGGGTTTATCGCGCAGTGCACGAACCGCTCCTCCAAAATTGTATCCCTATATACACAATTGTATATATATATATATTTCCACGATGTACAGAATTGTGTATACACATATCCCTATATATACACACAATAGTAGCTATGCACATTAAACTATCATCGTTTCATACAATGATACGATTTTACATCCAGCACACTCGCAATAATTGTAATTTACAGCCCAAAGTCAATCCACTGATGGGTGATTGCTTCCCCACGTCGCGCCCGCTTTATGGAGGCCGTTTGACCATACTTCACCACGCTGGGCAGGGGGGGGGGTCGTGAAGATTCGGTGGGGGGCACACATAGCCGGTGACTCGAAGTATTGTCTGGCCGCGTCAGTCGTTGCAGTGGCGCTAACCACTGCGCCACCGCTCCTCGTGCCATGTTTAGAAACTCAGCGCGTGCACTTTACGAAGTCGGGCTAAGTGTAACGTCTACACGACCGCGCTAGTTACGCATTTAACATTGACATACTTTATATATATATACCTACACTACTTGTATATATGTGTATATATGATATATGTTACATATATGTACACGTACACGATAGTGTTTGAACACACGTGTTCACGCCGTGACGCAAACTAACTCGCATGCCGAGAGCATGTTCACAGTGTATGTATTTATATACACGTGGCATACATTAACCACGCAAACATTGCGCGCATAAATATATAGTATGATTCATTATGTAGATGCATACACACACGCGCAGTTGTGCGCATACACGGGTGACTTTAACGCAGGCTGACACCACGCGTTAGTTAAACGTGCCGCTTACAACTCATTGCGTTGTGTGCGCACGTGCACATTGTAGGGTCCCTTGCGTCTGAGTGGGAGTCAAACTCAGGGGGGCCGCGGCTTCGAGTAGCAGCTGCCCGCTGTAGAACATCACCCGATTGTTAATCCACTGCTGGATGAGGCGTACACGCATCACGCCGTGATGGTGTTGGCGGTTAAGTGGACATACTTTACCTTGCTGGTCAGTGCCTGAAGCAATGTGTGTGTGTTTTACTATAATACAACAGTGGATATTGTTGTGTGTGTGTATATGTGGATATGCACATGGTCGACTCAGCCTTAAATGAGTACCTGGTGCGGTGTGTAAAACATAATCAGCACTGGGGAGACAAAGGCGGCCGGGTGCGGTGCTGGCCACTCACCACCCTCGTGTGTGGCGACCTTCATAGGCATAGGCGCCGCTCGCCAACAGCACTTGCCCCAACAACCTGCCCAGGATATGAAAAGGGATCTTTGTCTTTGGATGTATACAAACTTATAACGGGGGTGCGTAATAGACGTTTCGGCCAATGGTCCTAATGTCCGGACATGGGCTTCACCCACTTCCTAATATCGGCGTTATCGTCACAACCTTTCAAAACACGCGTAGCGGCATCACGAGTTCATGGAATGTCTGAAATATAAACCAAATTTGACTCGGCCTCATTCTAAACGACCAGACGCAAACGTTAATAGGCGTAGGTCTATAAAATAAATAAAAACATGCATTAACATTTTGGTAAAAATTTTTTTAGTGGGGAGTGGAAATTATCTCCTTTCGATTAAATTTGTAATTTCATTTTGGGGTTCGTTATATTAAAAGGAAAACACAAACGGACACTTAAATTTCGATTTAAAGCTTTCGTGACTGCAGGGATTCATATTCTTGGTTCTTTCGGTAAAGTCACGTAGAAGGGAAATAATAAAATAATAGAAATAACACATTAATTAAATAAAAACTAAAATAAAAATAAAACGGACACTTGCTTTCTTACGACTACAATACAAAAAAATTAAGAATATAATTTGCACAAATACTATTGCGTCGAAATGTCTTGCGTTGAATCACCTCTAGAACGCTTCCAATTCACGTCGGTGAGTGGTTTACTTCGCAAAGTCGCATATATAGCACCCGTGCATCAGACATGAGCGATGGTGTTTGCACACGCGTGGCCTGGCTGATTCTAACATTAATGCTGATAAATACTGTAGTTCAATGTATTTTCATAAAATTTTATCACGTAATTCATGAGTATATACTGTAAATACACGTGCTTTGTTTATGGCCAAGATACATTTTAATACGCGCACTTATATTATTTGCGTGTTTACTGTATATATGTATATGGCGCACACTTATATATCAAGAGTGGGTAATTAGAGAAAAAATTGTAGAAATGTTCTAAAAGCGGCCTAGCATATTATATTTAGGGATATTTATCGCACGGCCTATGATTTTAACTCGACTTTAAATAAATAAATCCCAAAATTGTCCAAATCAGATTCTCTAATATATTTGGGACTATTAACGTTTGGATCTGGAGATTTTTGTACGGGTGCTGCCAAATTGATCGATATGAAGATTTTTTTTATCAAATCGAGAAAAAATAAACAAAGATACGGAACTTTTCTTCAACATTGCACGAATTCGATTGCGATGAATTTTCTGAAAATAAAATCTGATTATTTTCTTCCATAGTTCAATTCCTTGCGTGTGACGCTAAAGCCGATGCTAGTTAAATACGTCTCAGACCACAAACAGCTGTGTATATTAATGATACAAAAATAAAGTAAAACAAAATACCCCGTTTAGCCTCAACAGACTGTTGGGACAAGTGCTGTTAGCGAGTAGCTCCTTTGAAGGCCGGCATGGCACACGAGGGTGTTTGTGACCAGCACCACGCCCAACCGTCTTTGTCTCCCCCGTGGCGATATGTTTACATACCGCACCAGGTACTCATGAGGTTGAGTCGACCTAGAGGAGGACCAGGACTGGTTCAGATGTTCGTCACTGGTGTTGGCCGTGAGCGGGAATCGAACTCGGGTAGCCAGGTTCGTAGCGCGATGCTGTGCCACCGTTCCGCCATTAATATTAAATATACAAACACACACGTACTTTTGTACAAAAACTCAACTCACACCTCAGCAATTCAGTGGCTTTATAATAAAAAAATATATATACATAATCGGTGA